CCCCAAAACCCCAAAACCCCAAAACCCCAAAACCCCGTATAAATAAAATAAAATTGAAAATAAGAAATTATAAATAAGAGGGTAATTTGAAATGGAGACTCCCACAAAATCAGACTTCACAAATATGCTCAATATTAACCTGAATGCTCCCTCTATATGAGTTGAAAAAATTGAAATGAACAAACAGAAATACTTCGAAATCATCATTGAAAATCAAGCTAACCAAATAGATGATCTAAAGACGAATTTAAACGTGCATAAGGATATAGTGAACAATCTACTGACTGGTCTTGAAGGTGAAGGCCAACAACAGATCATTAGCGAGCTCTTTAGTGAGATGCTCCGGATCAAAGAGAACCATGCTGACCTTAATGAAGAGAAAATCGCCCTTGATTCTAAATGCCTAATTCTCGAACAGATTAATGACGAGATCAAGTTCAAAGAAAGAGAGACTGAGCTCATGTTCCAAGAGCAAATCAGAGACATGAATGATACCCTTGAACGCAAAGAGTTTCTCTTTCAACTCAAAGAACAAAAATGGTCGGCTATTGAACAAGTTATGGTAAACTATGCTAGAGAAGACACTAAACTTCAAAGGATGCTGGCTGACCTAAGATACATCTGTGATGATGTATCTACCACCAGGAACATAAAGAATGTCATACAAGAGAATGAAGAGCTCAAGATGCTTATTGAGTCCCAGAAGAACACCATTAATGTCCTATCACAAAGATTGCAGGAGAATCTGGTTCTGGGGAACTCTAATGAAATCACAAATATCACTCAAAATTCTTCAGCCAAGAAAGGAGCCTCTGATGAATCCAAGAAACTACCAGATCTCAACTGTTTTAACGTTACTGTTGTAGATAAAGAGATCAAGTTCACTAAGAAAAGCGAGGCCCAAAGGATGAATGAGAAGATAAAGTTCCTTGAGAGCACTCTTGAGCAAAAGGAAATTGACATTAGAGACCTTAAGTCCAGTAATTACGATCTCAGTGATAGCAACGCAAAAGCTGCTAAAAAGCTGAAATTGTTAAAGAATAAATTCTTAAAGATTAAGGTGCAGCTCAGAGAAATCAGATCTCAGCTCACCAATTTGGTAAAATCCAGAAAGCAACCGAAAATTAATGATATTAGAGATATTTTGGAAGGATTTAAGGAGAATGTCAACTCAGATGATGACCTAAGGTCCTCCATTGTATCTTGCCTAACGTTATCTAATGCTGGATCAGTCTACTATCCATCAAAGAGACCTAGGTCTCCATCCAGAGATGATAGTGTTGAGTCTGTAAAGAGGATGCAGCTTGGATATCACAATAGCCACAAAAAGCCTCTCAGAAACGAAAGTGATTGCAACAGTGTTCAAAGAGACAGCCTTGATATTGGTGATGTCTTCTTACCGGCTGAGAGTATGTGTGCTGCCAAATTTGCATCTTTAAAGAAAACAAGGCTCTACCCTTGCCCACTTCCACCTCAGAAGATCGATTTTAAGAAAGTAGTAATGTTTACTGAAGAAGAGAAAAATCTCGAAAATAAAGAGCCAAACTTGCGGTATCTCTCTCCTGAAAAAGACGAACTCAATGATAGTGTTGTAAGAATTTCTAATGTACGGGAATCAATCCAAATGAGTGAAATAATGGCTGCTTCCAGCAGGAAGGGTGAGTCCCCCATTAGAGCAAGTGATCTCTTCAGCCGGAAAGATGCCGATGACGTCCTTCAATCAATAGATTTCAAATAATTCAAATTTAAACAGCAAATATGGGGTTTTGGGGTTTTGGGGTTTTGGGGTTTTGGGG